TAAAAAGTACGTCAATTGATTGGTGGTGGCAAATACCCTATTGATTTGCTAACGAACATTTTCACGTTTTGTATAGTTTTTAAAAATACTTAAAAACATCAGTTTTCAGCCTTTGTGACTACATACAACCTTCCCTGGAAGCAAACCCAAGATTTGCCTAGAAAAAGAGAACCGCAGTTTCGCGGAGCACTCGCTACTAAGTGTTACAGCAAACTGCAAGTTTAACTTAAACATCCTGCGGCAAACATGCTATTCTTGTTTCTAGGTAATATTAGCTAAAATTACACCTTTTAGGCTCCTTTTGCGGCCAACGTATTTGGTTTTGCGGTGTACTTTGGCTAGTACCTTCATAGTTTGTGGGAACGTTAGAACGTTTAAGATAGATGCTGTAATGTGAGTGGTTTTTGTCTGTTGTTATACCAGAAAAGGGAAAAAGGATGTGTGAGCAAAACTCGTGGGAGTTAATTTTCACGTGTCTTTAGGCTAGTGCCTTCTGTCGCGGACAGGTCTACACCTAAAAATCTGGTTAAAGTGTGACCAACTGGAGACGATTGCAATAGGTAGTTGTTGAAGTTGCATAATCAGGCACTTGTATTCATTTGGGTTGACAGATTTATAATCATCTGTAGGGGTACGACTTCTAATATTAAGAGAGGCAAAAGAAAGATTTGACCTTGCTACATTTTGGATCTAATAATAGTTACAGCACTTTTATTTTATTGAAAGATTAAAATTTTCTAAAATATGTTCGAAGTTGTAGATACCTTCCAAATTGGACTCTGGAATTCCTAGATCTTCCATGGCTGGTCTGGTAGTCTAACGAATTTGAATGTCAGCTAGTTGTAATATTACTTAGTGATTATTTTCAGATGTTATTTAATCAAATATCTCAAAACGCTCTTTAAATACTAAGGAGAATGATAACGAAATTTTCAAACCTGCGATACTTATTCGCATTCCTTGGCGAACATGTTACATACAATGAAAATAGGGGATTACGAAATACCTACTGTCAAACCAAAACTGTCCCTACCAGGAATTAAATATTTCAGTTTTTTGTCAAAGGCGTGGCCGTTAACCGCCTACCAAGCCGTAAATAAAATACTCTAAATTCTCTTCACAAGGAACAAAGCCTATTTATAGCGAACTAACTCTCGGTCACGTCTCCATTTGAGCAGGAAACATTTGCCATTTTATAGTTAACAGTTTAAGCTTCAACTGTTTAATCATTAAATCGTATACAGAAAAGAATAGAGGCGAAACTGGCTTGTGGAAAAACGAGTAATCGTTTCGGTACTTTGTTTTGTTGGCGGCACTGCTAGGTACTTTTAGAGGTCAATTTTGGGAACAGTTGAACGTTAAAAGGTTTGAATTCTGGAATGCTGTGTTCTATTTTCGAAATAGGTTGCTATTTTCACCAACTTAAATACAGGGTGGGCAAAAAAATTTGCAAATAGCAACGTTTGATTTTTTCGAAAACGGTTTGAGGCAGGGACGCGTGCGTGAGAGATGAAAAACTGCATAATTTCATGTTTAGTCACTTACGACGAGCGTTTCACGGGACAACAGCGTACTTTTTGCAGACAAGACACAATTCTTACACCACTTCTTCTCAGCACCAGCGAATATGTTGTCCCGATGTGGTGGTAGAGCAAGCTATATTGGGGCATGTATCATCATCATTTCAGCCATAGGACGTCCACTACTGAACATAGGCCTCCCCAATGATTTCCACAATGGCCGGTTAGTGACGGCCTGCATCCAGCGTCTTCCTGCTACCTTTATGAGATCGTCGGAGCGTGTAAAAATGCTCTGAAAAGGGCCTACATAGTAACAAAGAATTTGCAATAAAGAACCAAGTATCTAATTGATAATATAAACTATAAAGTAATATAAATACATTTATTAACTTTCCGAACCTGCTCAAGGCGAGACACATTAATAGCTATCTAAAGTGACCCGCCAAATGCGAGGGACCTCCCGCAAACAGCCCGCCACGCCCTTCCCGACAAGTGGGCGATTGTATTTTTTTACTTGAAAATACTTGTGGAGTTATGAATGGTGTTTCATATGAAGCCTGAAAGATTATGATGATTATTGCAGTCAGGTCCAGAGCTGTAGCCATTAGGAAACCTTGGTGCAAAAAACTGAGGGCATATCGAAACTTTGAAGATTCCTTTTGCCAAACAAAGTTAATCTATGGAACATAGCTTTTTGACAGCTCGTACAAGTATGCCAAATAAAATCTAAATAAAATAGGCCCTTTCCAGGGCACTTATGCACGTCCCAAATACAGCTTGCCCTACCACCACTTCGGGACAACTTAAGGGCTGGTGCTGAGAAGAAGTGGCGGAAGAAACTCAGTGTCTTTAATGGGCTATTCTGATGAGGCAGAATATTTAATTAAAATCCGTTCGTTACGGCGCTTGAAGGAGACATCGATCATAACATAATAGATCCATCCTCACAAACTCACGTTACGTTCATGCACAGATAATGTCAACAAAGTTCAACTAGCAGAGAATGCCTAAAGGCATTAAGTTCGCCTTTTGTACGGCAATTCTTTTTTTGGGTGCAATAAAGCTTTTAATAATAATAATTTCGATGTCTAACACAGGTTATCACACAGACAGATAGTATATTATAAGATATACATCGGTCATTAATTTTTACCGGATCCGTTGACCGTTTCCAACCGTCAAACGACAGCTTCTCTATTTGCATGGGTGTAGCATCACGTCCGATTGTGGAAATCGGAAGTTTGAATCCTTGAAAGGTGCTTTAGGATATACAAGGCACTTTTACACTGCGCGGAAATTAGCCGAGTCAAGTCAAAAAATCAGTAGGTTGGGGATGAAATTCATTCATTTTTCATCCCCACCCCTGTTTTTTTTACTTGACTTGGCTAATTTCCGCGCAGTGTAAAAGCGCCTGTAAATGTGGCACATGACGAGCCAGTGGCAGATTTTCCAGGCTAAAGAGACCGGTAATTTTAGGGGGTGGCAAATTCGGAATGAAATTCATGGAGAGCTTGGAAGCTAGCGCTTAATTTAATCAGGAACTGACTCAAAAGCGCTAGACCGATTACCTAGTCTAAGATACCTAATTATATTAAGAGTCAAGTGAAATGTTGCGCGACATGATTCGAGAAACTGGTTAACATTACAGCGTCATCTTTAGATCTTTGACACGCTACAAAAAAAAGCAATACAAATGTTGGTGGAATGGCACAATTTAAGAGGTCTTATCGGGGGTAATCTCTTGTAGACAACCCGTGGAGAGGTTTCTTTGAAATAGGTGAAAGGCGGTTAAGAAGTAGAATCATAAAGGTTAGAAATGACCATCTAGGATGGAGGATTTTTTATCTTTCGACTTAGTTGCTAATCAGGCGATAAGAGAATCAAATCCAGCGGTTCTCTTGTCTCTCTTACTCGTGACGAAATAGTGAGAGAAGGTATAGTCTAGCTAGTAGAACCCCGGATACAAAATGGACAAGCCTATAGCGAAGATAATTACAGTTCCTTTTTCGGCAACAACACAGGTACTAACAGAAAATCTTATTTCCGCAAATCCTTAACTATCGACAAATTGCAAATCATCCTTTCACAATAATAATAACTCTTGATGGATGGCCGGCGAGATCGATAAACGATCACATGGTTCCCAGAACGCTATCGGCCTCCATTGAAAAAAACCTTATCTGTCAAGTGTGCCGACCGACCACTTTAAACTTCCCTAAATTAATCAAAAACCAACCTTATTACTATCTCCAAAGAGGTTGCTACAACGGTAAAAGCTCCGTGGCAGGATGCAAAAGCGCGCGAAACCATAGCGTCGGTTACGGTACCGTTGCGGGGCGTTGAGTAACTTTTTAAATCTGGAATGTAGTGCTGGCTGGCTCTGGAGCTCGACTCCCGCCGAGGAAAAGCCCTCAATCAAATCCTACTCTATTCTTATAGCATTAAGATCCGAATTCGATGACCGCGAAAATGGCGCTCAGCTGATGCGAAGTTATTGTTTGCAGTCGTTATCATTATTTTATTCAAATGGTATGATGCGATACGCGCCATTTGAAGTTACATAGAAATTCGATGTGAAAGTAGATTTTAAAAATAGAACCTTAGATTTTTTAGATTAGGTACTTTTACATGGCCAATATCGGCGACTCTACCACCACAGACTGATAACAAATACTTTTCAAAAAGTTTTTTTTTGCAGAACTTCAAAAGTAATATCTATTGGAGGACAATTAAAACGTTTGATTTGTAATTAAGATATTATTATAATAACTCTTTAAGTAACACGTGTCCCTTATAACCAGAATAGCAATGATGATGATGTCATACTGATAACACGTTTTTTACAGTCGGCGAGGGCAGAATACAAACTGCTATATCCAGATGATCCTGGGCTCCAGACAGAGAGATATGTATTTATTTATATCGCAAGACGAAGTTATAATGTACAAAGCTACTTACAGTTTATAGTTTTTAAATTACCTAATTACTAAACCTACAATGACTGAAAAGTTGCAGGAGAATAAAAAGTTTGCAGTTTCTGTGGATCTCATCTACCTGTTCGGAATTCGGATGTCCTAGGCCCTAGCAATAAAAAAAATTCTAAAATAAACCACAGCCTCTTTCCATGTTGAGAGGGCTGAGCATGAAGGTGTGAGTTTTTTCAAACGCGCTCACTAGTGAGCGCGTCAAAAAATGACATTAAATGTATGACGGTTGTACCTACAGCGCCCCTAGCGGGAAACTTTCAGAAACTAAAATGTTCATACATTATTTTAAACTCACACTCAGTCCACTGTGCTCCTAGGTAAGTAACATGTAAGTAACTATTCTGTTGGTATACACAAATAATCAAGTAAATGTTAATCTGTGGTTAATCTCATTCGATGTTCACTTCATTTATTCAGAGTGAAAGAAAAGAAGCACATGTATCAATATGTCAATGTCACTACTTTTTTCTCCTTCCTTGGAAGAATACAGTTTTTACTTTCTGAAACGGNCGTGCGTGAGCAAGCTGGTCAGGCTGCGAACTGGCTGCTCGATCTGCCCTTGGAAGAACGCCGCCCTGCGAACACGCACCGTTCTTTTTTTATTAATGGTTTTTCTTAATGTGGTTTAGTCAAAATGGCCAGTGTCAAAATATTAGATGATAAAATACTTTTTTCTACATACATAGACAGGTAGTAGTTGAAACAACTCTTGAAAGAAGTCAGGCGTGCAGCTGACCAACAAAATTGACGTGCTTCTTTGACGCGGTTATTTTATCTTCAACTTCCAAAACATCAATGCTGTGCCATGCCAATGTTTGGTGTCATGGCGACAGACTTAGTAAAATGGTGGCAGCTATCCAGGGGACTTAAAATAAGCTCAACCTTTAACGTTCTGATTCCGTTGAGAATAGATTGTGATAGGTGATCTTACCACAAGACAACTTGCGTTACGGCGTGGCGGCCGGGCGCTGCGCCTGCTCTAATAGCTTAGCCTCGGGGCTCCACTAGCGGCCTCTGTGTATACTTTCCAGTCCTGGATTTGTCAATAGCCCGTATAGGCCGCGGCCTAGGGGCGGCAGCGTCCTAGGGGTGGCAGATTTCAGAGAACTTATACTCGATTTCAGAAGATAAAAGTCAAATGAGATCCAAGAACACTCACCCATAGGTGGCGTGCGTACGAGCATGTGCCAGGTACTTATGGCGTAACTTGCGCGGCGGCGCGGCGGCGGGGCGTTGCGCTTGTTCTAGTAACTTCGCCTCGGGGCTCCGCTTGCGGCCCGCGGGGAGTAGCCGCGCCCAACGCCCCGAGCGCGCATGCTGCGGTAAGTATTTGTCTTGTTGCTCTCTGGAAGGCGTAACAAATACATTTTTGTGACTGCCTAACGACAGTGATAAGATTGTGTTTAATGATAAGTTTTTGGAGATTGAGATCTGGCTCGAAGGACCAAGTAGCGCTATGAAGTATGTGTGGGCTTGTTTTGGGTGCAGACAGAAACGCACAAGTCTGTAATAAGTGTTTTTATTTTCAGACACACTTCACAACTTGCTTCATAGACATAAAAAAGGAATCATCTGCGTTTTTTGCCACAAATGATAAAACCATTCTGATACTGAAAGGCACAATTTTCCATAGATACTGAAATACACATTTATCCAGCTAAGAACTGACCTGAAGAACTTAGCAGTGTGTCGGTGTGGGTCGTAAGGCCCGAGTTGGATGCGCGCCTGCAGTCCGCCCAGCATCACGGCCTGCGCGCTTTCCAGCGGGTAGCGGCCCGTCACTACATTGTGCCGCGCCTCCTCGTATAGCAACTCTTGGATACGGGAGTCCCTAGGACAATCGATCAGTGGAGTGGACGACAGCTGGCGAAGGCCTCTATGGATGACAGCGGGCATAGCTTAGACCACAATGTCAACTACACTACTGAATGATAACTGTGAAAAGAGCATTATTAGGTACTAAACCTATGTATACTTCCCTGCTGCCCAGTGTCAACCAATGTCCAATGTATTTCAATGTCTAATTTGGCAACGTTATTTGTTGGTATACACAAATAATCAAGTAAATGTTAATCTGTGGTTAATCTCATTCGATGTTCACTTCATTCATTCAGAGTGAAAGAAAAGAAGCACATGTATCAATATGTCAATGTCACTACTTTTTTCTCCTTCCTTGGAAGAATACAGTTTTTACTTTCTGAAACGGNCCGTCGAATGAAGGGTTAAGAAGATACAAGGAGATAAAAGCTTATATTCTACTTAATGTAGAGCCGAATTTCCCAATAACTGATGCGAGTTGTAATTAATTTATTGAGAATATATCGGGGCATTGGTATTGTCAAATGACTGTAATATCGAAACCCTTTGTATTCCGCTGATAACAATCGTCCGTTCCCACGCAGAGAGCTCGGAATTTACAACGAATATTTGAGACAAATTCTGGCAATGATAAATGTTTCAGCTCCAATTGAAAAAGTATAAAAGTAATTAAATAAGTGGAAATCTAGAATATCAATATTTTGATTATGATGGGATATTTTGAAAACAAATCAATTTCATCAAAAAAGATTAAGTACTTACAATAAAAAATCTAGATGAATAACGAAAATCAAGTTATACTCGTATGTTGGTTGAATTAAAACTTTCCACAGCTGTTTGGACGCAAGTTAAGCAAAACCAACTAACGTAAAGAGTTAATTTAAGGTAGGTACTAACCCCCTCTCTGATGTTTTGCTATGACCTTTCAGGGTGTCATGTGTATACCTATAACTTTACTATAACACCACTAGTTGCAATGTGACATGCATTAAACAATTTGAATTTGAAAACACTTACTTGCAATATTTCCTCAATAGAAGCCTTGCTGACGTTGACCAGTCCAAGCATTTTGGACCAGTGCCGGGGCAGTTTAATCGCACCGCTTTTTAAATTTTGCAAGTTCCGCAAACGTTTTGATTGGTTAAACGACCCCATCATCAAAGATAAATTAATTTTCAAACTTTCTAACCAAAACTTTAGAACAAATTGCGGTTTGAGTTAAGAATCAAAATGGTTTCACGAAAGGAATTTGTATAAAGTTGAGTTTAACTTTTTAAATTGTTTTTGATGAGTTGTTGTTTTGTTTTTTTCTCAAAGTGGAACAAGACATTGTTTGTTTTGGTGCCGCTCGATCACTGAGACGAGTGTCGGCGAGAGCGACATGACTGCGACTGGCAAAGAGCCGACATTTCTCCACCAACCCTTAGTCTAGGAGACGTGATCTCGAGTTTACACATTTTAAGGACACGGGTCAAACTGTGGCGTAATTTCGCTTTGTTCGGGCACTTCATAATTTGTTTACCAAAATGAAATAAATCGCCTCTAATAAACGAATTTGAGAGTAATTGGTTTTGCAATCGTTTGATAGCGGGATATTTCCAACTAGGGGAGGTTTTAACGAGGAAATAATACTTAAACAAAATAATGCTTAGCAACTTTATGAAAGCTTTACTGTGCAAAACACCAATTTTTAGGTTTATATTGTTAATTCTTTTGCACGCGTTAAATTAATAAAATCAAAAACAATTTTGTTTGGAAAGGTTCTATAAATATTATCAGGACTTAATTTAATCTTAATCTAATTCATAATGAATATTCTGGAAAACGCGTAACTTTAAGTTATTAAAATAGTAAGTACTTACCTTACTGACTCACGATATTACTTATATTGGAATTTATAAACAATATGGCCATAACAGCTTTTGATAGTTCAATAGTGATATCATATTATTATATCCTACAAAAGATATTACATACAGTGTGAGTCACGTTAAAGTGTACATATGAAAATAGATGAAACTAGACATATTTTTATCGACAAAAAAGAGGTCAAAAAATTTTTGAGATTTTTTTTTAATTTTTTATAGAATTTTTTTTCTTCCAAGTACTTATTGTAAAGAAAACGTAATAACTATTAAACTAAGCGGTATATCCTGATAAAATAAAAACAGTAATAATGCTAAATAACAGGCGATACTAAATACATACATAGAATACACAAAAAATGCCAACAAATAATAAAAAATGATAATTTTTGAAAAAAATCGGCTTTTAAATTCGTGTTTTTTTGGTTATTTGATAAATTTCTCCCAAAAATGCCCCTATAACATTTGCTATGATAGTTTGAACAAAGGCCTGCCACAACATTATTCTCCGCTACAGGTAGAGAAAATTTTAATTTTAACTAAAATGCTTATTTTACTTCGAAATCTTTTGTTTTTATTTGAAATCTAACTTGTCTTTATCAAAATTACAAATCTAGAGCCATTTTCAGTTTCGTTGTTAACGAAGCGTTGAATGGCGCGCCCGGAGAGGCTTAGTTCAAACGATCATTGCAAACGTTGTGATAGAGATAGAGACATGCGATTTTTGGTTTTACGAAGTTAATACGATAGAGAATAATACAAAGTAATAAAAACCACCGGTTATAGGGGCATTTTTTGGAGAAATTTATCAAATAACCAAAAAAACACGAATTTAAAAGCCGATTTTTTTCAAAAAGTATCATTTTTTATTATTTGTTGGCATTTTTTGTGTATTCTATGTATGTATTTAGTATCGCCTGTTATTTAGCATTATTACTGTTTTTATTTTATCAGGATATACCGCTTAGTTTAAAAGTTATTACGTTTTCTTTACAATAAGTACTTGGAAGAAAAAAAAATCTATAAAAAATTTAAAAAAAATCTCAAAAATTTTTTGACCTCTTTTTTGTCGATAAAAATAGGTCTAAGTTCATCTATTTTCATATGTACACTTTAACGTGACTCACACTGTATATATTTTATTATTTAGTAATGCAGGAATAACTATGTAAATACACATAACATTACGTTCTGACCGCGCAAAGTAAATACACTAATCAAGTCAAACCTAAGGTCATTTGGGCCTCCTAGATGTTAGCCCTTGGCCTTTATTGGCAGATTGTTGGCCGTAGCTGGCACTAACACAGGAGTCCTCGCATGTTATTGGAGCACAACCCGCCTACAAATGAGATAGATATTCAAAACACTAGGAATATTATAATGCTGAGCCTTTTACGTTAATATGAACCCAAATTGATTAATTTGTAGATATTAACCGCCAGTTATTAAAAATATGTATACTTTTACGATTATTTAATGACTATGATTTCACAGCTTCTGGATGGAATGGATCCTCCAGTACGTTTTTCAGATATTATAATCGACCTATTATAATAGTAAATCATAATAATGATAACAATGCTTCTTTTGCTAGAGCTTAAATAATAACTCTTCTGGTGATTAATTTGATCGTTATTAATTATTAATTAAATAAAATTACTATTTAAAGAAAATAAATAGCTCACCGATAAGATAAAATACAAGAAAAAATTCTAATGACCCGATTCGTTCAAGACAGTTATTTTTATATACATATTACATACGAAAACATTTATTCAACAACTTCAATTAACTATCAAAATGTGTAGTGACCGTACAAGTATCAGTACAAATATTATAATGACTTAGCACTTGCAAGAAAATTGTACCCCCTTCCGGTGATAGAGTCATTAATCATGAGAGTGAGCTCTGAAAATGGAGAGACGCGAGTACCTTTAAGTATAGTGCAATGGCATCAAAATCGCTAAACACTAATCTCACCTCTCTTTCCCACCACTTCTTCTACAGCTTGGCCTCCAATGAAACCCAATCCGTAATCCAACCATAAAAAAAGCTTTTTACATTTACAAAAAAATGTTCATATGCTTCACACCACACACCTAACTTGTTACCCGCAATTACCATAATATAACAAAAGAACCAATTTCTCCAGCATTCTGATAATATTTAAACAATCTTACCAAAAACAAGGACACAATCGCGTCGCCTTCATTGAACAATCACATAATTCTGACTTAGTAAACTCCCGTATAAATACAAACGCCCACCATTATCCATTCAGGAAAATAATGTAAGCAAACTGGGATCGCAAAATCAAAACTACGTGTATTACATAAAAACCCGGGCAGTACCTTAGTATTAATAATCTGGACAAAATTATTTGAACAAAACCACTCACTTGATTGATATTGTCTGACTAATGCACAAGCATAAGTTACTATTTAATTAACTACCTACACTCCAAATAAGCATCTCTACTTAGATATTTTTATTCCAATAGTTCTACTTCAACCAAAATAAATTTCAATGACCAAGTCAAACTAAAGTAATAAAGCACTTGTGAGCACGTTTAGTCCATCAAAGAGTAGGTACAGCTGCACCCTTTCGGTGAAATTGTTACCAAGAGCAACCCCATTTATATTAAAAACCAGTCAAATTTTAGCCGCTTTAAAAATTTCAACAGATTCCCCAAACTTAGAGCTTGTATATTGACAAAGTAATCTTAATTCAACAATAATAATAAGTCTCAAAAATAATATAAAACACACACTAATAATACAGTTTTAAGGTTAATTTTGTATTTCTCTTGTAAGTGAATGTAATTCTTTTAGAGAAATAAACGTCTTAAACCATAATAATAACCAAACACACACGTCTCAATTCTCAACAATATTCAACATTCAGCTGGCGTGGAATATTATGGAATTAATATCCCTTGACTAGACAAGTGTATGCAACGATAAATCGTCACTGAAATGGTAATTCTAAGGCATCGCTACAAACATAGCTGAGCCTTTTCAAAAATTGTTCCGGTAACTTAAAACTAGTACTTAACCTAATACTACAAGATACCCATTGTGTTCAGTACTAATTTGTGTTCAGTGCCGCCCTAAAATCAGAGGCATATCTTATTTGGCCGAAAAAATACTTATGAACCGCGTTGAAGAACCCGTACAGCGCCATCTGGTTTCTTATTAGTGCGTTATGTTGTGAGGTAGAACTGGTTCTAGTTATTCATAAATGTTTTACTTGAGAAGTAACAATGTTTGTCGTCATTGTATTTTTGGGTTCAGTTCATCCAGTTACACATCAAATGGAAAAGTGATGCTTAGTTTAATATGTAGCTTATAGAGCAGGCTTAAATTAGTTAATCAAAAAAGTTAAAATTATTATAGTGTAACTAATTACCTACACATTATTATTGTTGGTATACACAAATAATCAAGTAAATGTTAATCTGTGGTTAATCTCATTCGATGTTCACTTCATTCATTCAGAGTGAAAGAAGCACATG